ACTTCTTTTATTTAACATATACATACTTGCTTTTATGTGACTATGAAATGTAGGAACCACAAGTGAGAGAACACACATTATTAGTCCTTTGGGGACTGCTTACTTCAGCCAATGTGATCATCCTAGTAGCCTCCGTTTCTCCTGCATGTGACTTTCCTTTTCTCCATAGCCAAAAGCAATTTTGTTGTGTATCTATGTCCCATCTTCTCTACGCATTCCTCTGTTGTTGGATACCCACGCTTCACCATAATTTATATGTTGGGAGTAGTATAACAACTAGCATTGATATACAAATATTTCTGCTATATAATGACTAGGGAAGATTTTTTGGGGGGGGGTGAGGTAAGCACCCAGGAGTGGTATAGCTGGGTCAAATAGTAGATTTATTTCTATTTATTTTTTTATAATCTTTCATACTAATTTACATAATGGCTAGACTAGTTTATGATCCTTCAACAGTGTGTCGTTTCCTGTTGTCTATTCTGACCAGCAGTGTTTGCTGTTAATTGCTTGACTATTGTGCTCACTGGGTTAAGACAGAATCTCAGTGTAGTTTTATTTGCATTTCTTTGGCGATACCTAACAGTGAGGTTGAACAGCTAGTCATATGATTAGTGGCCATTTTTATTTCCTTTTTTGAGAACTGTCTGTTCATTTTCTTAGTCCATTTACTGGCCATGATGACTTCTTACTATTTACTTTTCTGAGTTCTTTGTGTATATTGTATATTAATTTTCTGCCAGGTGTATAGCTGGCAAAGATCTTCTCCCATTTTATATTGTGTCTCTTCATTCATTTGGCTGTTTACTTTGCTGTACGGAGCCTGTGGCTTTGTGAGGTCTCATCTGTCAATTGTTGGCATTGTTATCTGAGCAACTAGAGTCTCATTCGGAAAGTCCCTGCCTGGGTCTAGATCTGGAATGTTTTCCTTGTAGTTTCAGGTCTTACATTAAGATCATTGATCCATTTGGAGTTTTGTACGCTATGAAATAGAGGAATATAACTTAATTCTTCTGTATGTGGATGTCTAGTTTTTCAAGCACCATTTATTGAAGAGGTTGTCTGTTCTCCAGTGTGTAGTCTTGGCATCTTTGTCAAAAATCAGGTGACTTCAGCTGCTTGGGTTTATATTTGGATTCTCCACTCTGTTCCCCCCCCCTCTCCCCGTGTGTGTGTGTGTGTGTGTGTGTTGATTTTGTTACTGCAGCTCTATAGAACAGTTTGAAACCAAGTATGATGATATCACCAGCAATATCCTTTTTGTTCAGAACAATGCATTGCTTTGGTTATCTGGGGCCCTTTGTGCTACTGTATGAATTTCAAGGTTGTTCTTTTTTCTTGTTATTTTAGTGTTTTGGTTCCTAACTGGCTGTTGAGTATCCTAAGAAGAGTAGACTCTCAGAACTCTTGAATTAAACTGAAATTAACAATTCGTTTGCATATCAACTTAATGATTTCCCACTTACACTTAGGATTAAATACAGAGGTGTAAAAATGTCAGATTTGATAGTCTGACCTAACCAGCTCCCTTTGTAGAAGAAATGAAGAGAAAAACAAAGAGACAGACACAGTTTCATATAGAATTAAAAGCAAAACTGAACCTATACCCAGATCTCAGTTTTTCTAATAAGACTATTCTCACATATTGTGAGAGATGAGAAATCCACATAGTTGTAAGTCAGTTCTCTCTCCTCTGAGCTCCCCAGAGTTAGATAGAAATAAACACCATAGATAGGCACTGGAGGACATTTGGTAGGTAAAACACTCTGGGCTACTTTTTTTTTTTTTCAGTGAGTCTTCTCACCATTGACTAAGGAGGAAGCCAACACAGATATTGATAAGCAATTCATCTAAGACCAACCCCAACAAGGACTAAAAGGTTGAATGACACAGGGAATTTAATGTGGATGCCACTGGGGTGCAGGGGGGATCACCTGTTCCACTCTCTATACATCTTCCTTCTTATGACAGAAAAGAAAAAGAAACATTATCCCAAACTAGATAACAGATTAGCTGTAAGACCTAACAACAGTCTGGGGATGAGATGTCTCACAAGCTCTATACAGGTCGGCTGCCCCAGGCTCCTTGTTCTGGCAGTGAGAGGATTATTCCAAATTTTCTGGCTACTTGCTCTGTCACCTGAGTTCCTGCCCAAAGCTAATGAGCCGTTCTTACCAGTGAGTCAGGGAGCAAAATCCCTGAAGGCTGTTTTACGCTCTCATGGATGTTGGTTCTAAAGTTGAGCAGACACTGGCATTGCACCAATAGTGACTGTTGGCCACAGTGGCGTTCTTGCTCTGCCACCACCATATGGGACCGGATGGCTCATCTGGACCCTTCAGCCCAAGTTGTTAGAGTTGGTGTGACCCTACTATGCATATCTACCAGTTGGCCACGGGAAGTCTCATCTTATCTGGTTCTTGCCAACCTGTTCTGTTTCTGGCCTTCATGTTTTGCCTGTCTGCATTCTCTTGGAGATGGTGACAAACACACCTTACACACACTGTCATCTTTCCACGTTCAGTGCTGGGGATGCAAAACAGGTTCTTGCATCTACCAGATCAGCATTCAACACTGAGTTAACAGTTCCCTTCTCTCAACCCCCGGACTTCACTAAGTATCTGCTTATCTAATCCTGTCCTCGGGTTATATCTCTTTTTTCTTGTAGCAGTCATTTTAAACACACATTAATTTTTTTCTTTAAAAACACTGATTCTAAAATTAGCGTAAAATGAAACTTACATTCCCTAGTCTATGGTTTGATGGCTTTAACTCATGTTTAGATTTGTCACCCAGAGCAGGGTACAGATAACATTTGTCATTCCAAAATGTTTTCCCACATCATTGCTTTGTAGTCATATACCTCTGTCGTGTCCTGTCCCCACAGCCTCAGATTTGCAAGCATAGCCTACTAATGGACTCCTGAGAATATAACATTTTGGAGAGGTAGGGAATGGCTTCTTCCTCTCAATACAATGTCTTTTAGACTCATCCCTGTTGCTGTATGTGTCAATAACTTATTTCATTATTGTTTGGACAGATCCTTACTACTCACCCACATTGACCTTGAACTCACGTTGATCCCCTGCCTCAGCATCTTGAGTGTGGGGATTACAGGCTTGAAACACAACATCCAGCTAGAATTTATTTATTTTTATAGCTCAACGATATTCTATTGTATAACAATATTGCACTTGGTCTTCCATTCATGAATTACAGGACATTTTGATTGCTTCCAGCTCGGAGTGACTGTAATTAAGATTCCAATAAATATCCATGAGCTGATATTTGTGTGGTTATAAGTTTCCTTTTCTCTACGGTAAATGCCTAGAGGCTTTTAAGCTCACCCCTTAATTTGGATCACTTCCCACTTTTGAACCTGGGCTGGTTCCACCCCTTGGCCTCTTGCTAAGACCTGCGCCTTTCCTCTCAGACGAGCAGGCTTTGTGGATCAATTTCATTTTCCTTTCTTCCATACCACAGCCTTCCCTTTGCAAATGAGGAATTCCCAGAACACAAACCGAGCAGAGCCCATTTGAATTAATCTAAATCTCAGCCCAGCATTTGTTGTGGCTTGGGTTATTGCACCAGTAACGTAGTACCCTCTGCTGGCTGGTTCACAAAGCTGGCTCTGTGCCTGCGATAAAAGAAAAATGATAGGTGGAATGCAGACAAGGGAAAGAAATGGGATGGGGGAGGAGGAGGGAGAAGGAGGAGTTGTGAGAATGCCCATAGAAATGACAGCCTGACAGGGACACTTCATGTATTTGATGCTACACATATAGATAAATGCTGTAATATTTTTGTGGAACCTTACAATATTGTCTTCTCAATTGTAGGCAAAGATGGGCTGTCTGGAAAGCTGGACTCAGCCTGGAGCCTGCCACCCAGATTGCTAGTTTGTGAAGCCTTCTGCATACAAATGACTCAGATCCAAACATTCAAAAATGATCTTGGAGGGCCATCTGGTTCTCACTGGTTCTAAAAGCTTCATTCAGCCCGGCTGTGGATCCAGTTCAAAAGATAGCAAGAGCTTTTCACAGGGAAGGTTTAATGTGTTCTGCTGACCAAGGCTGCAGACTAGCTTTTAAAACCAGCCAGCCATGATGCTCTGAGGGCTGGTGGATGATGACTTTCATAGGTCAATGGAAGTCTGATAAATATTTAATTGGTGATGCGGTTGTATAGTGGTATGAACACACACATACACCCAGACACAATTCTGCATCACAGGGAAACATGTGTTAATTTGTTTGGGTGTCTGAATCAGTCTGTGATTTAGACTGAACCAGCATGGCAGGCCGTGAGGTCTGTCGGAGCCGTGTAATCATTGCGATATGTCATTTCTCATTTGTAAAGACAATACAGCCAACCTTGCAGTTGGGAGGCTGGCGTTGACTGCCTTTGCCATTTACACTGCCTGGCGCCTTGCCTTCCTGATCAAAAGAAGGGTTGTGGCCTCTGAAGCCAGGGGATGGGAAATGCTGCTCCAGGAGGATCACAGCATGAACAGGAATGGGAGCCTGTGATCTCAACCTCAGCTTTGGGCTGCAACCAAGTCCAGAGACCAGGTGTCAGGGATTATGGGTTGACAACAGCCTTCTCAGCAAAGCGAAGTGCATACAGTAGGGGGTGGGACTTGATTGTCTTTTCCTTTCTGTCAGTTTTCAGTGTCTCACCTAACAATAGTGTCCCGGGAGAAATGTATGCTTCCATGCATACAAGCACACCAACCTCAAATGTAGCCTATGTTGTAGTCTTGAAAAGTTTTCATTAACACTTTCTTACACTTACACAGGGGCTGCATCTGGCTCCCGGAAGCCCAGCACAACACTTGGCATATACAAGGAAGATCTACAAGGGAGTTAGCTAAATACTGGGGACAAGGAATAGCTTGTTAAGGGCACCGTGTATAAGATGGCATATGTGGATGCTGGGATCTTGTTGAAATCATCATACCCCTACTCCAGGTGACTCGGCTTTCTTGTGTTCACTCTTAGTGAATCCCACCTCGGACTTGCCTCATCTTTCTGAGACTATGGCTCTTCAGGAGATCTGCACTATTGCTGAACAGCGGAGACTCACAGTAGTTCTTAGGTGCAAAGAGATTGGTAAGTGTTTTTTTTTTTTTTTCCAGAAGTTAACATTTGCTTTCAAAACCGAACAGCTTCCGTGTTGACCTGTTCCTCATGGTTCTTCCAGGAGACAGGAAGCATACCCTCTCAGCAACCGGAAGCAAAAACTCAATGATAGATGACATGCTTATCTGTCCCAATGCTTCTATTCTATTTGAAAGGGCACTTAAAGTGTCATCTTTAAGTGAAGGAATTTAGCAGTATTGGGTTCTCAAGCTCTAGACAGAACCTTGGTCTTTAGGGAAGACTCGCAGGAGCTCAGTCATCATTCTTCAGGATGGCTTCCTATTACCCATATTATAGCATAATTTTACATTGGTATGCTTGTGTGTGTATGTGTGTGTCGTGTGCGTGTTTATATGTTTGTGCCTGGATAGAGGCCATACTCTCTGCCTTGTTGCTTGACACAGTGTGTCTTCACTCAGCCTGGAGCTCATTAATCCAGCTACATTGGTACTGAGGCATCTTCTGTGGGGAGTGTCTACCTGCTCTGCCTGCTCCAGCCCTGGTGGGGTTACAGACACCTGCCATGCACTTGTCTTTTATGTGGAAATTAAGGATTTGGTTATGAGTGAACACCTTATTCTCTGAGTTGTCTCTCTAGATCCATATCGACTTGAGATATCTTTTCTGGGAGGGTTTTCCTGTGTCTCTGGTGTGAGTTCTTATAGCATTGGCTGGTCTCTGGAGACCTATTTTGTCTTCATTTGAGGCTACGATGAGGACAATTCTAATGTGTGTATTTGTTAATACAAAAGTTACCATTTTGGCCATTTTGAGATGAAAAGTTTAGCCGTGTTAAATGCATCCATGTCATTGAGCTACCATCCCCACTAGCCATCCACTGAGCCTTTCTCATCGGCAAATCTGACCGTGGCTATTAAACAATAATTCCTCTCTCTGATCTTTTTTCCCAGACTTGGACAGCCACCCTTCTACTCTCTCTCCCTATGAGTTTGAACTGGCTTACATACCTCATCGAAGTGGATCACTTATCTGTTGATTGGTTTATTGTCTCTCAGCATAATGTCCTTCCGGTCCAACCATACCATAACACATGCCATAGTTTTTCTTTTCACTTTTTAGGGCTGAACAATATTTCATTTTGTTTATATATCATGTCTCAAATCTCCACTCACCTGCCCCTGAACCTGTGGTTTCTTCCACTTCTTTTGTTGGCTGAGAATAATTCTGCTGTGAATATGGGTGCCCAGTTACTTCATGACTTCATTGTTTCACTTCTTTTGGATAAATATCCGGAAGTGGAATTGAGATAACAAACAGTCCCTGTGTTTTTAATTTGTGGAGGTTCCATCCCTGATTTACATAATAACTGCTCTATTTCACACTTACTAGAGATTCCACTTTTTTTGATAATTTCATCATCACGTCTTATTTGCTCTTTTATTTTGTTTTTAATGTAGATACCCTGATGGGGTAGAGTGAAATCACATTGTATATTTGATCTTCCTTCCTTCCTCTCTATCTCTCTTCCTTCTTCCTTCCCTCCCTCCCTCTCCCCTTTTCTCTCCTTTCCTTCTCCCAGTACTGGTGATTGAATTTAAGGTCTCACACATGCTAAGCAAACACTCTACTATTGAGAACTAGACTCAGCCTTCTTTGTTGGTTTTTCTTTTGAGAAAGTCTCACTAAGTAACCCAGACAGTCGTAAGCTTGTGATTCCAAGTAGCTGGCATTGCAGGTTTTCACCCGCACACTTGGATGCTCTATATTTCATTAATGTTCCGTGATGCTAAATGTCATTTCAGGTGTGTGTCGATCTTTTGTTATCTCCAGAGAACTGTCTGGTCAAGTCCTGTGTCCATCTTGGAATTGGCTTGTTTATTTAGAGATGAACGTGTCAATCCCTTCTGTATGTCAGGTCTCTTAACAGATCCATCATCTAGTCTCCTATCTAGCAAATTGTCTTTTCTATTTTGTTACTCTTATCCTGCTGCACACGGAAAACTTTTGATGTAGTTTATTCAGTGTTTCCTTGGTTGTCTATGCTTTGGGGGTTACACATAAAACACCATTCCAAATGCATTGCCAGGAAGTTTTCCCTTGTCTAAAAGTTTGATCGTTTTAGGTCTTCCATCTACCCTTTGTCATGCCAGTTTTCACCTTCCCTCCCAGGCTCAGACAATGAACTTCTTGAGCTTAGAGGTTGTAGATACACATTGCAGTTCTAGCACTGAGCATGTATCTGGCACTTGAAACATACATTCAGCAAATTATAGCAGAGTAGACCTCCTTTACAAGCTATTGTGAGGATAAGTCAAATGATAATTTCCCATCTTTATAACAATTACAGTAGTTTCACAAAATTTAAGTAGCTTTGCAGACCCCAAAGAAATCTCAGAATTAAAAAGATAATTTTTGTACACTATTTACTTCCCCTAGGGATGCCTTAAGGGGATGCTTGGGCACTTGTGATGATCCCTCTACTATTGCTGCACCTGCCTCTCATCAGAGGACCTGTGCACTCAGTTCTGTGATGATGATAATGCCCGTGCAGGAAGATGGCTTCTTTCATCTGCACACGCACCTAACCTGCCTGGACCCCTAGGGAAGGGAAACACGGAGTGGGGTGTTGGCCTTGCCAGTCTCATGACCCTGGAGAAGTTCTTCATTTTTTTTAACTTCCCTCCATTTTCTTTTCTTTTTTTTTTTTTTAAAATTATATATTTATTATGCATACAATATTCTGTCTGTGTATATTTCTGCAGGCCAGAAGAGGGCACCAGACCTCATTACAGATGGTTGTGAGCCACCATGTGCTTGCCGGGAATTGAACTCAGGACCTTTGGAAGAGCAGGCAATGCTCTTAACCATTGAGCCATCTCTCCAGCCCCTTCCCTCCATTTTCTATCTAGAGTGAGAGGAAGAGTTGAGTGTGCACTTCCTTCTAGTTCTGAAAGCACAGAAACTTAGGTGCTGGTGATAGATCAAGTATAAGAGGAATAAGCACTGAACCACCTCTGGGAAGAACAAAGCTAAGGCTCAATACGATTTGGCTTCTCAAAGGAACTTCCATACCCAGGAATGACGGAGAGCTACGTGGAGCTAAGTCTATGCTTCAGCATTGAGTTACCAGTCTTGTTTTCTCTATAAGGGCTGGCGCGGGTTGGAAGCAGAAGACAGCAACAGTTGCTGTTACGATTGAATGGAGGATGTTGAACTTTCAGCCACTCCCGAGCAAATTGTCTTGTACATGGAAATGTGAGTGCCACAGACAGTTGAAAACAAGAGAACCCACTACTGTTGCAGCTTCTGTCTCGAGCGTCCTCCAAAGGCCTGTGTTCTGACAGCCTGGCTGGTGGCCTGTGGTCCTATTGGGAAGAGGTGGAGCCGTTAGGAGGTAGGGTCGCGTGGAAGGAAGTTAGGCCATTGGGAACATGTCTTTGGAGGAGATATTGAGACTGTGGCCATCTCTTTGCTTTTTGGTCAGGTTGATGCGAATAAGAATTTTCTGCCACAGGGCTCTGCCATGGTGTCCTCTGAAGCAACAGACCAAATGACCAGAACTGTCACTAGGGACGTTGTGAGCCAAAATAGCTCATTCTTTACCCTAAGAGCTGCTTATGTCCTAGTGATGGAAGCTTTACTAGCAGTTATACTGTTAGCCAAGACCATATGTTAGCTCATGCTCAACTCTACAACCCATGTGTCTCCACGGTGACTGTCAATCTTTTTGAAAGGCAACTAGAGTTATCATCTTTCAGTAAGCTGTGGCCTGGATTTCTTCTGCCATGGCAGTCCCTGGGGCTTTCTGAGATGATAGCTAAGCCATTATTAAGGTAGCAATCACATGGCCAGACTGAGTATGTCATCAGGGAAAGGACAACGGTCCATGTATTGTTTTACATGTGTTTTTATGTAACAGGTTGAACATGTCTTGCGATATATCCCTCTTTCTTAGGAAGGAAGGAAATGAGGAGGGACTTTTCTTCCTACTGCAGTGGGTGCTTATGTCCATTATAAATGTTCAGATGGTTCTATGGAGCGTGTTTGTTAGGATGGGTGCTTGATTCTCAGAGAGGCTAGGTAATTCATTCAGGGCCACACAGCTGATACTGCACACAGCAGAGCTGGTGTTTTTCTGCTGAGTCTAAGGCTAATACTCTTTCCTGCGTGTCAGTGGGCTTGAACATTATGTCAGGCTGATATGTTTTCTGTGGATGGGGACCTGTTTTCCTTTCTTCTCGATGCTGAAATTGCTCACTTGCTTCCTTCTTTTAGCGCTATACACACAAAGAGGAGTCCTTATCCTTTGAGCAGGTGCCACTTACTCTCAGTAGAAGCTATTTTTTTTTTTTTCAAACACTGCATTTGATCTGATCCGGGCAGTAAACAATTGCTCTCGAGACCAGGATCCAGACACATATGGATGAGGCTTCATCTGACTGTGACCCTGCCTTTCGGCTTTTTCTTTCTCCCTCTTTCCCTTTCCCTTGACATCTCTCCAAATGCTCATTCTCCTTGGGGTCCCGAGGAGTGTGATGCTGTCCAGATGCCTTCTCAGAGGGTCTCTGGATTCACAAAAGGCCAAGTTGACGTCCATTCTGCATCTGGTTTATTTGATGCCAGAAGAGTGAGTGCTCAAGTCTCCTGGGGGAGCCAGGAGAGATTTGCCTCCTGCAGAGGTTTGGATAAGCCCCAGCTAATCTCCCTGGCTTCTTAAGGGTACACCTGCTTGTCTGCCAGCCTCCTAGCTCATTTCCCGTGGGAGGGCTGGGGTCAGAGGGCCTCCAGACAGCCTTTTATCTCCTCTTGCCCCTCCAGCCCCCCCTCCACAGCACCTGGGTCTGCACATAAGACTTCCTTTGAGGAGAGGTCAAGACACTGTCCCTCCCAGAATGGAGGCCAATGCCCTTTTCCTTCCTTTTAAGGCAGCTTGCTTGTCGCATCCTTCTATACAGGCATCTGATTCAAACTTTATCATGCGTGGCTCAGACTTGATCGCACTGTGCCTA